GTTCGTTGATGAGTAAAACTGGTTGAGTATGTCGTTTCAATTTCATGTACTGGTTGTGGCTCAGTGTTTTAAAAAAAATTTCCCCACATGCGACTTTACTGTTGAGTATTCTGGAAAGTAGTGGATCAGATTCAAACAAAATGTATCTGGAACACTCTGCAGATTGTGATTTTAATGTGGTTGACATTTAGCGATAAATATGGGTACAGATCATGGTGAAGAAAGATGTAAACAGAGAAAAACACAACATCTTTGGCTGGCTTGGCAATGTGAACTGAGTACTGAATTAAAAATACTGGCAAAAGCATAGTTTATTTATGCTAATAGGGCAGCAAAGTCAATATGATTGGTTACAATTGAAATATGCAGATTTGACCTTTAAATCACTGACCTCCAAAAGGGGGCCCACAGTCATTTTTCTTGCAGGTTCAAACCTGTATGGGCCAATTTGTCCCTGGCACTCAAAAATCAAAATCGTGACATCTCTCGTCATCATATTCCTCGATCTCATAACACTCGTCAGACGATAAGATAGATTCTGTGTCGCTTTCCAAGCACTGCATGCGTATAGCAGCCATTGTGAAACGACAAATTCACCTTGTGACGTCACAAATCACCCTTGTATGCTAATTAGGTTCTCTAGTTGAAGCCTCTTCTGAGTCGGCCAAGAAATTGGACGTGGGTGTTTCCTCATCAAGAACATTATTATTGATCGATTATTTAATTTATGTATATTTTTTTCACTTGATTTTTTTTCATAGTGTTTATAAATAAATTTTGCACACAAAAAAAGTCAATTGTCCCAATTCAGTTACACTTTAAAACTTGTTAACATATTAACTTTGCCTATATACATTGTACATGATGGCAGAGAAGGAATCGCACATGAGGGCGCCCTTTTTTCAACAAAGTATATTTTGTCTCATTACCGATTACGTTGTGTTGTAACATCGGCTCCACGGCCAATGCATTGCTTTCTACAGAAGTATTATTTGAATCATCAAGGACATTTCTGCATTTTTCTCTTTGTTTTGAGGGTTTACCTGATGTAGATCTACGACACACTTTCCTATTGTATCTATTTTGGGTTGGCGTTTTAGCCATTGTTATTAGTGAATATGACATCGTCACTCTATAATCATCCGTTGTCGAGAGCAAAGTTTTTGTAGTAATGAATTACCGGTACTCGTATATTTAAATGAGGACATAATGCAACTAATCACATCATGCAACTTGCCATCTGCATGATGGTACATGTACATCTATACACAGAAAAATAGCATGGAGTATTGGCTAATTTGCATAACAATTGAATATAATATTTTATTCATTGTTAAGCTAAATTGTCTATTGTTTATCAAACATTAAATAGTTGAGAACCTCATTAATGCCCCAGGGCCAAGCTGATTTTTCTGTTAAAAATGTTAATTTGACTTCAGAATATCCTAAAAACCGTCATTTGATACATGTATGTGTAGGGCATTATCTGCCATTTGTTTCTATTGATTCTTTTCAAACTTAGACTATTGGCATACTGAACATTATTTTTTGAAACTGGCTGCTGTCTTATTTGACAATAATTTTCACATTTTTCGCACATTTTGTCTTATTTACATTTTTTGTAGTACCTCAAATTCAAGTTTTTGACTCCCATGTGCGAAGCACAAAATGGGAGTCTTTGCAGTTAGTGTGTCTGTGTGTGTGTACATGTACATGTACATGTATGTGTGTATGTGTGTCCGACTGTTCCACTGCTATCTCAAGAACCATACATCGGTTTTTGATGAAACTTGGTGCATAGATACTCTGGGCCAATGCGCAGATTTGATTAGGTTTTGGTAAAAATCCACGCTCGTTAATTACCTAATTTGCATGATAATTAGCTAATTTTTAGCTGTTCTATGACTGTTCCACTGATACATGTATCTAAAGAACCACTCATTGGATTTTGATGAAACTTGGTACATAGATGCTCTGAACATATGCGCAGATTTGATTAGTTTTTGGTAAAAATCTGTGCATATTAATTACCTAATTTGCATGATAATTAGCTATTTTTTAGTGGTTCCATGACTGTTCCACCGATATCTAAACAACCACTCATTGGATTTTGATGAAACTTGGTACATAGATGCTCTGAACTAATGCTAGGTTTTGATTAGTTTTTGGTAATTCCGTGGATACTAATTACCTAATTTGCATAATGATTAGTCAATTTTCGGTTCTTCCACTGATATCTCAAGTACTAATCATCACATTTCAATGAATCTAGAATTATGCAGTGACCCAATTAGTTTTTGGTAAATATTTGCATATTAATCACCTAATTTGCATAATTAACCAATTTCCAACTTTCACACTGATATCTCAGGTACTAATCATCACATATCAATGAATGTTTATACATGGATGCTGTAGGACAATAGATAGACAGGATAATTGTGGGTTAAAATCTGTACATATTAATTACCCAATTTGCATAATTAACCAATTTTAAGCTTTCACACTGATATCTAAAGTACTAATTTCCATTTTAATGAAACTTAGTACAAAGATGCTCTAGGACAATGTACAAACCTAATTA